GAATCAATCTAATTCTAAGATCAATATCAAAAAGGAAACAGATTCTTATTTTCGGATTTAGCTGTGTGAATTTTACAGACTTTATCTTTTTGTCTTGATCTTGAATGAAAAAAAACTGTTGTGGGTGAGGAAAATAATTTCCTGCCCAAACTTCATACCATTTACATTCCACAGAGAACCTGTGCCTATGCCAGAGGGCATGGCTTGTGAAGAGAAAGGAGGTCAGAAGAAACACTGTTTGAGACATCTAAAAATAGAATTTGCTGTAGCCACACAGTGAAGATGAAGTGCTCCATGATGTAAAATTCTATTATGATTCACAATATTTCCACTGAAATGTTTGCACTGTGACATTTTCTGAGGTGAGTAACCCTGCTGTGAACAAGGATTCTTCATGAAACTGTCCCCAGTGCAAAACTCATTGATGGGCATTAGAGCTTTTATGGTCTAGAGAAAAATACATTTGTAGAAACTAAGACCTGAGCTCCTTTGGACATGAGTAGGATGAAAAAGAGAAGTAGAACTGAATGATTCAGTTGTGAATGATCATTGTTTCTTAGTCATTTGACTTGGACAGGAGGCTCAGCAGGATTCTGCCCAACCTGAATGCAGCCAACAATGGAGTCAAGGCAAGTCAAGAGCTGCTGAAATATCTCTGTGAATGTTATGGGTCTACCTGGGATGTAGTTAACTTTCTTCATAGTAGTCTGTATGGTGCTGTGTTTGGATTTGTGGCTAAAACAGTGTCGATAACACACCATTTTTTTGGGTATTGGTGAACAGTGTTTCCACAGTGTCAAGGCTTTCTCTGGTTTTCACTCTGCCCCCACAGTGTCTGGAAGAGGCTGTGTGGGAAAGAGGTGACACACCCAGGACAGCTGACCCAAATTCTCCAAGACAATATTCCATATGATATAACATCATGCTCAGCATTAAAACTGGACCAGCAGAAGAAGGTAGAGTGAGAGTTGTTTTCCAAGTTAGTAATTTCCTGGAGACTGGCTGGACATCAATCTGCTCTCAGGAGAAGGTGAGCTTTTGCATCACTTCCCTTCTCCCAGCGCCCCTTTCTTTCTCTTATTAAACTGTCTGTATCTCAACCCATGAGTTTTCTCTCTTTTGCACTTCCTAATCTCCCATCTATCCCACTATGCATGGGGAGTGAGTGAGTGGCTATGCGGGGTATTAGCTGCTGGTTGTGGTCTGCCCACTGCAGTGAATATCAAGCCAAAAGAATGGCCAAAAATTCCTAGGACATGTTTTGTTTGGGTCACTTTTGGATAATGCAATATCGTATTTAAGGTCCTACCAAACTGGGTGGACCTAGAAACTTACGGTCTCTGGGACACCTGACTTGTTTTGTTCTGTTATCTGGTTATTCAGTTTGACTAACAAAAAATAAAATTCAAACATTGCAAATATTTCTGCAGACCAAAATGCTTTTGGTTTAGTTTTATTTGTTTGTTTTTCATTAGGATTTCTTGAGGCTAAGCCCAGTGAGGCACAGTCTGCTTCAGAACCTTCCTGGTATTTTTCCACCAAATGAATCTTCATTCTCCTTGTCTCATCTTCGAGTGGCACACTCCTTTTGGATGTAAAATAGCCTCTGAGCTACACAAATTTGAAGTCTCCTTCGGGTTGTTACAGTCCATTTTTCTTGGCTGGGGCCTAGACTGTAGAGGGAGGCACATCTCCATGGCTTCTATACTCTCTGTCCATAGTTTTTACACCTGAGGTGGCTCTCTTCAAAAGAGTCTTGGAACCTGGAATCCAGGGCTATGTATCCTTTTTGCAGGCTGTGTGAAGGTAAAAAACTCCAGTCATCCTTGCTTAGGCACCAAACTCCTGCAAAGGGCCCTCGACACTGTCAGCTCATCTCTGTGGAGAGGTTATCCAGTTCTTCCCTCCTTTTTGGCTGGATCAAGGTGCATTGAGCTGTTTCCCAGCAAGGTCTACCTCACATTGCACTGCTTTAAGGAAAGAAAGGCTTGAGGAAGGGATTAGATGTTCAGGTTCAGCACAATGTGACAAGAACTAACGTATGTAAGTTACTAATAATTAAGCAATCAGACTTAGCATATCTCAACTTGTGGATTTGCCATATTCTTACAGTGTCTAGAATTGCTTTGCATTTTCTTTGCATGTGCAACAGTTTAATTGGGACATTGTGTGAGAAAAAGATGTTAATTAAGAGGTAAGTTTTTACAATAAAAATCTTGAGCAATAAACTGCAAGGGAATTGCATTCCTGTAAATGTTACTTACCTGTGTTAGTCTGACATAATTTTTTAATTTGCCTGCTCCTTTGGACAATGATCAGGAGTCTATCTTTCCTCCAGCTATCAGACATGTGAATCTCTCAAGATTTTCTATATAATCATTTGTTTTATTCAATTTAAATTGAAGCCATAAGATAAAACCTTAAGGTGCATGCAGCCTTTCCTTCCTCCAGAAGTGCATCTACGGGACACGGGGAAGGGAAGAGGGCAGGAGGTCAGTCAGCTGGGTTTCAGTGCAGTGTGGATCCAAACCTTGCTGGGCAGGAGCAGTGCCATAACCTCCTATAGTCACCTTTCATTTGTGAATTCTCTTTGTGTAGCTGGCTGTCCCCATCCGTTTATAAGTCTGGTTCAACACTGTCCTTAAAGGACTGAGTCAAGATGCAGTGTAAAGCCCTGTGTACATCTTGTCTTGACTAAACCATATCCCGTCATGTAAGAAACCTTTAACTTAGTACTTGGACTAAGGCAACCTCAGACTGCCTGTAATCCTGCAGCAAATCTCCGTGGTAAGCAGCAGACCCCCATCCAAAGCACAGACTGATCGTGTAACAGCGTTGCAAGGTCCGGCAGAGTAGCTGTGACAGCATGGGGATGCGTGCTGCGCTCAGGCTGTCCACACTAAATGTAACCCAAACCAAGGAGCAGTCAATGTCTGAAGCTTTTCCTTACTCATCCTGCAGATCTGCACATGTCCGTACGTGCTGGGACAGCACGGTGCATTTGGGGTTCACTGGTGATGGAGGCCAGGGTTTGAAAGACAGGGTAGGCACAGCAGGACTTCGCCTTCTTGTGCCTTTACCTGTGCTGAGCCTCGTGGACTTGTACAGGTCTTTGGAAAAAGTGCTGGGAGTATAAATAA